CTTCGGACAGTTTGGATGTCTTCGACTTTGGCTTTCCAAGGAATGGATTCACGGCAGGAGAACGCCAAGAATTCTTGAAGACCTTTGACCACTTTTGCATCTGGGGTTGGATGTTTTCCCAAAGGCGGCATGTCATATATGAATGATAAGAAAGGCCGCTGAACAGTGAAGCAGCCTAGGTAAAGCCAACCGTGAAATGCCCACGCTTCAGGCTGGACGAACAATGTGATGCTTTTGTTCGGGGAAAACAGTGTGGTCACACTAGGGTTCTTACGATTGCAATATATACGGTAGTGTTGAGGCTGGGTTTTGACCAAGGTGCTCGCATTTCTCAATTCGCTGCTATTAACGCTACTTTACATTCACCTCGAGATCTTCTAAATGCCTTTCGCAGGATCGCGCAAACTCTGCCCCAAGAGGGTGCTCTTCTTGACTCCGCTTTCGTTGTGGTGCCGTGCGGATTTTCGGACGCGGTGGGCACTTTTCGTGGCAAGAGAAACCTCGTGTTTTGGTGGTCCAAAGTCGAAATTTTTGGAGCAGTTTTACGTAGATGTGCAGATTTTGGTGGCGCTCACCGTGCTTTGGACACGGTGGTAGTCTCCAGGGCGGTCTGATTTCCTAGCAGGTGCAGTGAGTTGTGAACTGTGGACATGTGGCTTGCTTTCAGAATCCGGACTCGTTTTCCGAACTTGGAGGAAGTCTTAAGCAAAGCTTGGCTGCGACGCGCATTGGCAGGGCTGCCCGATGTGAATCTTTGTGTGGTAGTGGTAGTATTAGTAGTAGTAGTTGTAGTAGTAGTGTAGTAGTAGAAGAAGTAGAAGTAGAAGTAGAAGTAGTAGTAGTAGTAGTAGTAGTGGTAGTAGTAGTAGTAGTAACAGGAGTAGTAGTGGTAGTAGTGGTAGTAATAATAGTAGTAGTAGTCGTAGTAGTCGTAGTGATAGTAGTAGTAGTAGTAGTAGTAGTAGTGGTAAAAGTACTAGTAGTAGTAGTAGTACTACTACTACTACTACTACTAGTACTACTACTACTAGTACCCCACTACCACTGCTGCGACCACTACGACTACCACTGCTGCGACTACTGCCACTACGGCTACCACTACACAACGACTAGGACCACAAAGTCATTTTCTCACTCATCATCATGGTCTTCGGAACACTGTTCAAGGATGGTTGGGGTCCCTCTGGTTTTGAACGCTTTGATGTTGCTCGCAGGTGATGGAGCTCTTGGACTGGCAAGGTTTCAAAAATCGTGTGGAGGATGTGCGAAAGATGGTGCAACAAGTCGACTTCAATGAAAATGGCACCATGGAGTCTCAGATGATAACATTGTTCTACAAAAGTTGGTAAACATAAAAACTGTACGTGGAGATAACGATTTAAGCTCAGAGCCCAGGACGAAATCGAGTATTTACGTTTGATGCGCTTGCAGAAGGAGATCAAACTGTCAGTTTATAGAAAGGTTTACGAGAGACTTGGCAGCAAGGTATCAATCAGGTATGAAAAATGTTTCATTGAGAATTCGCAACTCTCCAGACGCATCGACCGTCACTGTCTGAACGTGAGGCAGCAAGAGCTGGCCAGCAAAGCTCTCACCAAAGAAGCACTGCACCCTTGGCTGAACGCACTCGAAACTCCTGAGGGTCAGTTTGATCGAAGAACTCCCCAGTTCCCTGAAAAGACGACGTTACATAGAACCTTTTTTGTAGCATATATAACCAAAGGGTGCAAAGTTTCTGAATCTCCTTTGTTTGATTGAGACAAACACACACACACACATGTTTGACTCATCAAAGTAAGAACGTCTAGATAGGTTTGTTTCATCACACCATCTCTAAGTTGTCTATCAGAGTGGGTTTGCATCTGTGAAACAATGGTGACACCATGTTGCGACTGCATTCTCCGTGACTTTCATCGGTGTTCACCTTTGTTCCCTGTGCCTCGGATGCGTTCGATGCCTTGTTAAGACTGCACCCACACATATGGCAGAACCAAACAGGTCAGAAGCCTTGGATGAGGCTGACCTCCATGTGCCGCCTCGCTGCCTGTAGAGAATTTGAGAAGGACTTTCTTTTCCGAAAAGTTGTTTGATATAATATATATATATATATATTCATAAACATGTATATATATATATGTGTGTATATATATATAGTTTGCAATTCTCTTTTAGACCTTTATATATTTATTCTTTTTCTACCTTTCTGTCTTTCTATCTTTCTATCTTCCTATCCCTCCTTCCTTCCTTCCTTCCTTCCTTGCTTGCTTGCTTGCTTGCTTGCTTCTATCGAAGATAATGTATTGCGCATTCAGGCAAGCATCTTGCTTTGATACCTTTCATAGTTCTTCTTCAGGTTCTCTTCCCGAGGTCTGGTGGAAGACACATTTCTCAAGTGTGTAGCTGAGCAGGGGCAAGTATCTGCAGGCCAAGGGTAAGATGGCTGTCGTAGCTGTTCAATGCAATTATAGGTCCTGAATCTGGTGTCCTATCTAAAGCACAACACGATTCGGTTGACACTTTTGGGCTTTCATTTTGAGAGACTTGAATCAGTTGACAACAATGGTGCTATCAAGATAATGCTTGCAGTGTGCTTCACATGGTCAAGCTCATGTCACCATGTTAACACATGTCAGCATTAAATGGCAGCTATTGTCAGGCATCACCTGGGACACTTGGGTGAAAGCGGCTGAGCAGAGCAGGAAGCTAATTCCAGTGGAGAACCGAAAGCAGGCGGGAAGACCCTGAAGCACTGCGGACAAATCCTCCTACTTCTACGTTGTGCTTTTCCTTTCTGAAGAAGAGTGCGCCTTTTGTCCTGCCATGATGTGTAGTCTTTGGGAGTATTTTCACATCACTTTCAGGCGCTTGCTTTGACGTGAAAACTGATGCGTGCATGCCTTGCACTTCATTTCATATTAGGCTTCCTTCACAGATGCAGAGCTGCAACAGCTCAGGACCACTTCTCTGGAAGCTCTCTCACAGAAAATTCAAAATCATTTGTTCTAAGAAGCTACTAGGGGCTCCTGGCCGTACTACTAGGAGCAAGTAGCTACTAGTAACAAGAAGCTACTATTTTTGTGTTTTCTACAGTCGTCCTTTCCGTTTTGTCTGCAGGACAGCGTTTGATCTTCAAAGCTCCGACGGCTGTGTTTCAAAGGGCCAACTTTTGTGGATGCTGGCTGACTCCGGTATGCCCGTCAACAAGGTGGGAGAAAGTTGTGTCCCACCTAGACCTAGTAGCAGTCTATAGCCTATAGCTAAAATAACTAGTTTTATCCCTCTTACTTAGCTTTCTTCTAGGCTAACTACTCTTTTCCCTTCTCCCCCTAAAAATCAATTGTACCAGGAATGCTAGGAACCATCGGGAACCTGGTAGAAGTTGAATCCGTTCTTCCTTCCTCTAGGCGAGCGGCCGCCGTGATCTGTATCTTAGTCTGGATCGGGCAAGGCCAGGGCCAGGTTTTTGAAGACCGATGGAGGCCATCGCTTCTAGGTTCGACTTCAAGACTATCAAGAGCATGCTCAGATTTGCTTCCGCCCGACAGGAGAAAGGCCCTTGAGGCCGGTGTGGCAGAAGAGGAGCACCAACTCAAGCGCCTGCAACAGAAAACGAACAGAGGCCATTGAGGTGCAAAGGAGACACTAATACAATCTGGAAAAAGGAATGGTAGCCTGTCTGTGTGACAACGTGACAGCCAACACATCTTTGGGATTAATACATTGATCGAGCATACTCCACGGCAGGAAGTGGGGCGACCACGAAGCCCCAACATCCGTTTTTTCCCAGTGGTGCATTTGGCACGGGCATTTCTCAAGAATACACAGCAGAAGGTTTTGGAATCTTGGCATAGTTTAGCAGCTTGGCGGTGGGGTTCTGCTGTGCTTTCAAACAGCTTTAAGAGTTCCAGTTGGTACAGTGCATGCTTCATCAGGGTGTCCTGAAGATTACAAAACTGGTTTGGGTCGAGCTCGTTTGTGCAGACCTGAGTAGAATCCAAAACAGCAAGGCGGTGACAAAAGCTGTTCTATAGTCCTTGCAGAACTGCATCAAAGCTTAGCAAAGTCCGAGTGTCCTTTGCACGAGTGTCCTTTGCAACCCTGTTTGGATCGTTTCGTGTCCCTTGTGAAGAGGTTTCACAACAAAATTGTTTTGTGTTTGCAGTACAGTCGGGTCAGGAACGAGAAGAGGCAGCTATGAGGCCTGATAGAAGTAATTTCAGTCCCTGACTATGTGGTTGCAGAAGTTTGCGAATGGGGTGAATTCTTGTTTGATTGATTTGCACAATGGACTTTCAGTCGAACCTCAGCACTCAATTCTTTCCATGTTCGTTTGTGCAGGGCAGTGCGCTTCTCTTCAGCGGAGGTCATTGAGCTTCGCTCACTTTTCGAGAGTGAGGTGTCTCAAAGCACTGTTTCGTCGAAGTGGTGACACGGGATCCAATGAGATTAGAGGTGTCACTTCTCACATTCACTCTTTTGGCAAGCTTTCACCAAAACAGTCTAGCTCGATCAAGGACAGTTGCTTCGACAATCCTGTACACTTTCGTGCCACCCGGCGCAGGCTCAGGAGTGCGTCAAGGAGGATTTACAAGAAAGACTTGAGGCAACAGAAAGAAGACAAGCTAAGTTCTGAAATGACGCTGCACACGACTAAAGAACTAGTCCTAGAAGTTTCAGAGAAAGTTATATAAAGATGTTGAAAGTTAAGTTTCAGAGATCTACTGTAGCTTTCAGGCCATTTTTCTAATTCGTAGCTGCAGCTCTTTTGGGAGGGCCATCGTTGTTGTGATTGTTGTTGTAAGATGTTGTAAGTGTTATTGCTATTTATGCTATGGATGGTGCTCTAACTTCAATCAACAGAAGACGATTCAGAAACAAAAAGTAGCCGATTCAGAAGCTGACCGATTCAGAAGCTAGCCGATTCAGAAACTGCATGGTGGGGGTGGGGTTTGGGTAGGGTGACGTTGACGTTCCTGTGAAGTTGCAAACAGTGGGCACGGGTGGGATGGTGACGCTCCTTTGATTTTGCGCACACTGGGCACGGGTGGTGGGGTTGGGGTGAGGTGGGACGTTCCCGTTCTAGTTTCCGAATCCTAGTTTCCGAATCCGTGCCGTCCCTAGTTTCCGAATCCTGGGCCACCCTAGTTTCCGAATCCGCGGTTCTAGTTTTAGTATCTGCTGTTGACCTAACTTCAACATAGGGCTAGGTAAATGGCGCTGGTTCTTGTTCGGAGTCACGCGTACATTGTATTGGAATATGTTGTCAAAGCATCCCAAAGCCAGTGCACCTGTACTCAGGGAGATGAAACGCGCAAACGCAGCTTGGGGACTGTAATTAGACTTCTTGGCTGCTTAGTGCAAAATTCAGTGCCCTTGCCAGTGACAGATACTTCATTCCTTTGAGGTTTTTGCAACACTTGCTCTTGAAGTTTTGCACAAATTCACATGCAAAAGCTGAGGTCAAGAGGCCAGAGTGCCCACCAGCAAGGTTATATTGATGACGGCGCGGATAGGGGCTCGGATAAAGATCTCTCAGAAAGAGGCCTGGGGAATGTGAAAAGGTCAGTCACTGTGAGATCACACCATCGATAGGAAAACACAGATGTTGGATAGGTTTCAGGGCCTTGCAGAGGTTTACAGTGTGAATGTATTCGCTGGCCGTACATGTGCGGATTGTCAGGAGCTTTACTCCAAGATCCGCGAGCTTTGCGTCCAAGACCCTGGAGAGACTCATCGGGGCATCGACTTCCCCTGCTTCTTGCAGCTCATGTCTCTTAGCTTGCACCTCAACCCATGGGGTACATGTTGAATTTCGATTACGGCATCCTTTGCAAAGATCTTCGACAATTGAACTTGACTCGGAGGCAGTGGATGTTGGATTGCAACTTTGGAGAAATCAATGAAGCAGCGGAGCGATCAATCAAGAACTGACACAAAAAAAACAGTGGGTCAAGCTGTACACGATTATTCAATTGCTTGTAAGAAATCACTATATATAGTAACTTCTATGTGTATAACACCACCATGTAGATACGATATGGGAGAATCCCCAAAAGGGCTGTGTTTGGACACTTCTGCCCACTTGAGTGTGGCTATAGAGTGTCGTGCCCATACTTCAATCGAAACCCAATCAGCGCTACAGTCGCTCGACTATGCTGATTGAGCAACTCAAGGTGCTTTTTGAGCGCTTTTTGAAAGCTATAGAGGTGGTTGCTCACGTCCAAGATGTTGCTCTTCCACCTGTGTGCACCTGTGGTGCACCGTGCACCTGTGCATCACTGGGGTCAACATCAGCGGAAGAACGGACAGAATTTCTTCATCTCATTTGACAGAATTGGAAGCGAGCTCAGCTGCAAGAACAGTGATTTTTGATGATTTCTTTCGTGAGATGTCGCAAGACGAGCGCAGGAACCCCGTGTGTGTTCCGAAATGTTCGAGTCCATTTTAGTGCCTTCCTTTGTGCGGAGTCGAGATTGGCGTAGCCTTGCATGCAGCGAAGGTTGCATGCAGCAAAGTGAGGCGCAGGAAGCGAGAAATAGTGAGCTTACTTAGTGTGCATGTTGCTTTTGTATGGTCGACACCCTTTGAGAAGCAACTCTGACCAATCCTGAGACTTACTTGGGTCCAAGGGTGTTGGACAGATTTATCTCTTTAACTTAAAAGACAGACAGATCTGCTGACTCACTGTTCTGGATGTTTTGGGGCTGGTTCATATGGAGCCTGTGCGAAAAACTTGGCAAGAAAAGCTTCAAGGAAACAACTCTTGCCCAAACGCTGAGCGTTTCAGCTCAATGATCACGAGATGTCACCAGACGAGATCCTTACCTAGATATGGATCCCCACCAGATGTGAAGGAGTCGCTCATTGACTGGCGAACGTGCGAATGCATGCTCAAGAAACACATTTAAGTATCAGGTTCTGTACTTCCCGAAACCTAAAGGCGCATCGTTGGCGAATTCAGACACCCCTAGGAGCAGCAGCTGCGGGCGGTCGCAACTGTGGCAGACTTGCGGCGTGCACTGAAGCTTTCCAATGAGCGCCGCAGCCAAGGAACATGTCCAGCATTCTGGTTGTATGTTGCACTGGAGGACTTAGAATCTAGAACATTCTTTCAAGCATTCAGTTGGGTTCTGGCACATTCTATGGCAACCGTCCAGTCTCAAAGACATATTCGCGTGGTGACAAGGCAGTTTGCGTGTTTTGTCATGTGTTGTTGAATTGCCATTGATTTTCCAGACTGCAAGAACTATGCTCCTGAGCGTCTTTTCAGCGCCAAGGACTGAGGGTCCCTGAGGGTTAGTGCCTCTGCATGTCTGTGTCATTCATGCCCTGAAGGCTAGTTTCTGTTCAGCTCAATGAATTTGGAGGGTACTTCTTTTCGTCTTAGTCTTGGTCGTCATGGCTCTGGCTTGTCTTCCTTTGTTCATGATGTTTGCAAGATGCAATGTCAAACTTTGCAGGATACAGGGCGAGCTCACGTTTGCGAATCAGAAGTGAGTCTGACGCAGGCGCACTGGTCTAACAAGTTGCTCCTGATATAGACCTGGATCATTCTCTGTTTTGGCTTATTCCATTGATATTATTCAATTTATCGTTAAGAAATGGATTTCAGCTACAAGTATTGATTGTCCAAAGGATGTCTCGTCAAGGTTCCGTCAGGCTGAATAGAGTTGGGCCTTGTCGCTCGTCAGGCTGCAAATGGGAGACCCAAGCCCTTTTGACCCTTTTTCTTTGCCATTGTGCGTGGCCTTGTTCACAAACTCATCGCACATTTGGAATATTGCGCTTCGCGTAAAGAGATAAAATCACCTGGTGTGCAGGCTGTGGTTGTCCCGGCCAAGATGCAAATTGCTGTCCAGCGCATTCGTCGTCGCCACAAACCGAAGAAGAAGATTGCTTGTCCAACTACAATTCGCGTGGGAAGGCAGACTTTTTTGATGCGCGGATTGCTGACATGTCTTTGCGTGCGAAGAGACCCTGGCAAGATGTGCCACCAAGCAACACTCAGCACGACTGTTGAGTTTGTTGTGTACTGGAGTGGGGCTTTTCTCATCAGCTTGAGAAATTGTGTCTTTTCTTTGCCTTGTTGTCCTTGAAGGCTACTGCCCAGCGTCCAGGAATGTTTGAACAAGTTCTGGAGCGATGAGGCGACACTCTTCGTTTTGAAGTCTTTCATCAACATGGTGTGTTGCGATTCGCAATCCAATGCAACAAGGAAGTTCGTTATGCAAACCAAAGCGCTTCTTAAGATCAGCAGTCAGTAACACACAACGTGCTCAGAGCTGGGTTGCTGCATTTTTTGCGTATGTTTTGGTTGTTTTTCAAAAGTGCTTTGGAACTAAGCCGACTTTGCTTCTCTGAGGTGAACTCGGACGACTTGTTGAGGATGCGGGTGGTCTTCCGCTCTATGTCAGAGGAAACAATGACTTTGGAATGCGCATTTGTCTTTTGCACAAACACAAACATAAAGCCCCTACGAATATTATATATATACACACATACATACACATACCAAAAGCTAACTAAACTTGAGTCACAAGATGGACATGTTTATAGTGAATTCGACGTTCAAAAAATACTCCCACAATTTTCAATGACCCCAAACTTGATTCCCAAAGTCAGTTGAATACACTTCAAATAACACTATACTATTTGTGAACCATTTTCCATGTAGACCATAACCTAGATGCATAGTTTTACTGACACCACAACATGTACAGCTGACCTCACTGCAGCTCCTTTTGAGCTCCAGAGAAAAGCCCCTAGGTCACTGTGATTTCAAGCCATAGATTTGGTGCTTTTGATAGATTTGGGGTCTTTGGAACCCAAACAGCTGGACTGGCGAAGAATTGTTGTGAGCAACACTCTGTACCCAGTACATAGTGTCAAAGAGACATTAGTACATAGAAGAGATGGATGAGATGAAGAAAATCTTTCATACAATAGCACAGAGTACGCTGGAAACAACATCAGCAGCTGAGGCGAAGAAAGCAGTTGAGGACAAGAAATCATCAAGAACAGGTTGGTCAAAACTCATAGCAAAGCCCAATATCTTTGACTATAAGTCACAAGAGGAAGAGGTTAAGGCATTCAGAGAGTGGTCATGGGTCATTGGGAAGGACTTGAGAAGTTTGACGTGGGCTTGGCAACTGATGCAGAGAAGACCAGGCGCATCAAGCTATGGATTGTTAGCTTCATGATAAAAGGAAGGGCACTGCAATTAGTGAAAGCTGTGGAACACTCCAATGGATTTGATGCCTGGAGGAGGCTGAATAAAGCTTTGAAACCAACTTGAAAGGGAAGAGGCTTAGCACTCTTGGGAGCAGCCACTACATGGCCAGCATTTTTAATGAACAGTGCACTAGAACCTCAACTTTTGAAGCTGGAGGAAGTATTTTGATGAGACAGTCGGGTCAGGGACTACAATTCAAAAAGAGTTGAAATCTGCTATTCTTTTGAGATGTGTAGGTGGACAACTCAAACCATACTTGAACTTGACAATTGGCGACAATGTTCAATACAACTTTGAGGGAACACGTGTTGCAAGACCGCTCTCAGCAGAAGCGGCTACTTGCACGGTGGCCTGCAGCAGTACAGACTATCAAGGGCCTATGCCAATGGACATTGATCGAGTCCAAGATGCCAAAGCAAAAGGTAAGAAGGGCAAGAAAGACCATCAGAAAGGCAAAGGTAAAGATGCTAAGGGTGAAGGAAAGAAAGGAAAAGGAGACCAGAAAGGAAAGGAAGGTGGTCACAAGGGCAAAGGTAAAGGCGAAGACAAAAAAGGCAACGGTGTGGCAACATGGGCAACATGTTACACTTGTGGAAAGCCAGGACATCTTGCTAAAGATTGTTGGAGGAACAATTTTCGACCGGTAGCAAGTGATCAGGCCCATTCATCTGCGGGAGGAGCATCAGTGACAACTCATACAGTTGGCCAACAGCATGCCAATGTGAGCCAACAAGGTAGCTCAGCAGAGACAACGCCAGTGGCCAGGAGAAGTGAGAATAGTGAGCCAATCATCTTTGAGTTGAGAGAAAGAGATGATGAGCTAGAAGATCAAGGAGTTTGAGTCATTCACACACTTCTACATTGGAGATGATTATGAGCCAGAGTTCCAGGAAGTTGAGGAGATTGACATCTCAGATGATGAACCCATGGTGAGGAGACTTGGGAGGAGAATGGGGACGTGGCCATCATTATTGACAGTGGAGCTGATGCAGCATTATTTCCTTTGAGTCTTTGAGTATGGCAGATCATGGGGAAGGAGAGCTGGAATTGAGCCCAAAGACCTAGCCACAAGCGCGCAACGAATCCGTGCGAAAAGTGTTGAAATTTCTTTGCGTGACCTTGATGGGCGAGAAGTTCTTCTCAAAGAGAATGCGACCTTCAGTTCAAGGGTGAATCAACCCACACTTTGTTATGGAAGGTTGATGGAGCATGGTTGGGGAATCGCTAGCAGAGAGCAAATGTTGGACTTGAAGGCGCCACTCAACCTACAAAATCGCTCTTTGACAGTTCAAGGCCGCATTAGAGTCATCTGAGATGAAGATGAGAGCTGCTTGGAGGCCCAGAAAGAATCAGGTTCGAGATTCAATCAGCGGGACTGCTGGTTGGAAACTTATTGGCTTCAAGATTTGTGGATCCCACAGTCATTCCAGAGCTAACGAGAACAACAGGATGATGCAAAAAATACTGTAGATTGATGTTTGAATATTGTGGAAGCATGATGAAAAAGGAAGAACTCGATGAGCAGTTCTTTGATGATGATGCAGTCATTCCTTGAATCACAATCTTCAGTTTTGAGCCAGCGCCGCCAGAGGGTTTGGGATTCTTTGCGCCAGGATACAAGAAGCTAGAGAACAAAGAGCAGAGAAGAAAGAAGCGCAGCAGGCAATAGAAGAGATTACCCCTACTTGGACCTACTCGGCAGTTCAGGCAGTGGCTCTAAGCTAAAGGTCTACACCAAGATCCTGGACTTGTTGAATGCCAAAAGCTTGGTGAGTGAAGCAAAGGCTTGGGGAACAAGAGAGGCATCAGCACAAAGTGTTGCAAAGATGCCAGATGAAGCAGTTCAAGCGAGGCGCAGGTTGACGCGCATGCCATATGCCAATTCGTGTAAGGAGTGTATTGAGCACCGAGCAAGTCCAGATCGCCATGAGAGAACAGATGGAGTAAAGAGAGGAGGTATTCCTGCGGTAAGTTTTGAATTTTGCTACACAAGAGCAAGGGACTCAGAAACAAAGTCAGCAAGAGCAATATGTTGGCTAGATGCAATTGACAGCCAGACTGGATTCATTCAAGTTGTGCTATTAGGAAGCAAAGGCCAATGTCGTCTTATTGCGCAAGAGTAGATGCTGAATTTTAATACAACGCCGGGGTACTCAGCGACCACCTACAGGAGTGACAATGAATCCACAACAACGCAAATCCCAATGCTCGCCACAGTCTAGGGCTCACTACCACTTAACTCCAAGCTTGGAGACCTCTCATTTCTGTCAGAGAACACAGTTGACAGGGTGAGAAGGCTTGCAGGAACTTTCATTGAAAGTGTGCAGTCAAGACTTGGTATCAAGATTGGATCAGACCATGCACTTTGCAGCAAGACATGCCAGTTGGGTCCTTAACAGATTTCGTGCAACTTTCTGTGGGCTTGTCTATGGCAAGAGTTCTAAAGGACTTCTAGCAGAATATGGTGAACCAGTTCATGATTACATCAAGAGCCTCAGCAAAGGGAAGCAAGATTGCATTTATGCCAAAAGTTGAAAGGCGAGACACCAATTTGCTTACAGATGGAGTGCAGGTAGCGCTCAGCAAATGCATCAGAAGAACAGATCAAGATTGGTCCAAATACTTACCCAGATACAAAAGCTTCAATGCCTTTTCATGGGACCGTCAAACCATCTTTGGAGAAGAGAACAGTAGAAGCTTTAACAGCAGCGCAGACAGACATCCCTCGAGAGCGCGTAACGCTGAAGTTCAGAGATGAAGATCCTGCAGTCATGGCAAAAGCAATTGAAGGAGGAAGTGATTCAGAGAAAGAAGAACCATTGTTCCCAGAAGCAATGGAGGTTCCAGCCCCACTGGAAATCCCTCTTGAAGCAATGAAAAGAGACGGGGGTGAAGGGAAGCCAAGTGGCGAGGACACCAAGTAAGCAGCAGAAAGTTCTCTTCAGCGCAGCGTAACTCAATTACTCCTATACTATCTTCATTGAGATCACCACGCCGTCAAGACCAAGACAAGCAGTTGAATTGCTTGAAGAGGAGAGCCCAAAGAAAAAACTCAGGCCATCAGATGATTCAAGCAAGAAGGCCAAGACCAACATGGTGAAAGTTGGAGGTGAAGATCTTTACCATGTAGACGAAGGGTGAAGAAGGTGAATCAGATTTGGAAAAAGTAAATGGACCTGAGTGCTTGTTGCGGGATGGAGAACATGAACCTGAAGGAGATCCAGAAGAATGGATGAAACCAGAAGGCAGCACAAAAGGAATCAGTTATTTGACAACACGCAGTGTGTATGACCGGAGGAAGAAACCATATCAGCTTGGAGGTGGCATTTCAGTCAAGAGGTGGAAGAGAAGGTCAAGACTAGTTGCAAGAGAGTTTGCTTTCGCTGAAGGAAAGAGAGATGATATTTTCTCACCAGCGACTTCAGGACACGTGCTGAAGCTTCTACCCACAATATTCTTGCAGAAGAAGAAGCAAGAGGGAGAGAAGGAGCGCTTTCACAGGTACTGGGGTGTCTCGATGTGAAAGATGCGCTCCTACAAGTTCCACAAGAGAGGCCATTGAAAGTGAACTTGAGAGGAGAAGAATTCTTGGTGAAGAGAAACCTAGCTGGACAAAGAGTTGGAGCAAAAGCATGGTTTGTGTTTTTTCTCTGCGTGCTCACGAAGGAACTCAACTACTGTATAAGTTCAGTGCTGAGTGTCCATGCCTAGGAAGAAATGAGAAGGGTATCGGTTTGATCCATGTGGATGGCTTGATTTTCACAGGAGACTCAGAGTACATCAATGAAATCTTTCCTCCAAAGATTCAAGGCAAATTTGACACCAGTGTGAGCAAGAAAGTACAGACTAGAAGTTGATGGACTTTGGATCCAACCAGGCAACTACATCCAGCAGATGCTGACAGCCTATGAAGAGCAGATAGGATTGATCAAGCTCCAGCAACTTCCATCAGACAACTCAACCCACATGGAAGACAAGTCAGAAGTCTTACAAGAGCAAGAGAAGATTGGCCTTTTTCAGAAGCATTGTTGGATCAGGTATCTACCTATGTCAAGAGAGGTATGATGTAGCGTTTACAGTGAAGGAATTGGCTTCAAGAATGTCAAGCCCTACAGCTATGTCATTTCATCACTTGAAGAAGTTCTTGGGATACTTGAAGAAGACGGTGGACTATTGTCTAGTAA